ATTTTAACTAAGTGGCATAACATTAAATGTATGGAGTGTAGAGTAGAAGGAGAACCATCTTATAAGGTGCGAAAGTTGAAAAAGTGTCCCACTATATACTGAAAATAGAGGTTCCAAAACCTACCACAATAGCGCTGGCGTCTGAAAATCTACGATATGAATATAGCTGTTGTAGACGGAGTGAAGAAAGCTGAATTCAAATATTTAAAAAAAAATCATGACTAGAGTAGTTAGTAAAATGCCAGTATACAAAACCTCAACTATTTACGTAGTACAAGACCTAGCGGATTGGTCGGTCCTTGTTTATTTTGCCATCTTATTCTAATTAATTTTGGCGCTTTTTTTTAAATTTATCCTATGCTACTGCAGCGCCACCCTTATTGGACGCGTTTTTAGGGACACTTTTCATATACAGAGATGGTCCTCCTTCTACTCTACACTCCATAATTAAATGGAATTGTTACATAGTACCAAAGAGAATATAACCACTGCGTTTACATAGTACTATGATTGAGATAATGTATTATTGAAGGAAATTTTTTGTAAGAGACTTATTCTCAGCCATATCACTTTTATTTTTATTATTTCTGATAGTACAGTTATTACTAATAATAACTTAATATAAAAATATTTTGTGTGTTGTGTTGGTGGTCTCACAAAGTGTATACGAAAACAGTATGAATACTAAATGGCAACATTTAAATAGAGTAAAATGATCATAGACATAGTATCTTATAGACTAAGCATTCAGTGACGTCATCAGCGTGTGAAAGGAATGCACGTATATAGTTAGACATAAGAGTAAGGGAGAAGCAAATCTATATTTCTTGTCTTTTTCTAGGTATGCGTTTTTGATTGTTTTCCCTCCTTTATTTGACATTAACGATGTCAAGCTCTTTTGAATAATATTGATATTACAAGCAAACAGGTAATTGAATTTAGTGTTTTTTGTGGATCTTAGTTATTAGGTAAGGTGAAAAAGATGGTAAGTTGTAGCATTTTAGGATGCAACAGCATCAGTCAACGAAAAATTGATAATATAACCTTTCATCGGTAAGTTTGTTTTGTGCTTACATTTGCTACTTGTACTGATTAATATCTATTGTTTTGAATATAAAGTGTAACATTTCATGTTTTTAATGAACTTTGTGATGTATTTTGTCAAATATTTGGACTCCCAAATTGTAAATTCTTCATGATAATGCTCCTTAATTTGAACGGTCATTCGAAAGCTTAAAGTCATAACAAACGTGTACTTTTTGATTTGGTAGGATTATAGAAACTTTAGGGATATCAGCAAGTACAATAATGTTTTCGCATTGTTCAATAATAATTGTTATTGTGATTAGTAGTTATGTCCATAAATATGAATCACATAATGTTATACATATACATACACTTTTATGTTCAGCTTTAAAGGAAACTCCTTATTGCCCTACAACTCTTCAATCATTTTCCATATTACATAGACGTCACAAATAATATGTAAGTATCAACCTGAAAACATGTTTGGATTCAAGTACATAAATATTGGGCAAAGTATTTTTAATTTCACAAAATATGTATTGCCTGAAATCAGATGCACAAAACTTTGTTGCATTCCATTAATTCTATTATACATTACCAACAATTACATTACAATATTTATTTAAAAAAATATGTCATGCTAATATAAAAATAAATATAAATATAGATAAAATAATAAATAAATAAATAAGTCTTAATCTTAAGGTACACACTAACACAACAACATAAGATAATATTCTCAATTAATGATGTAGAAAAAATTTGATGATAATATACTTACCGTTACCATTAGTCAGTATCAAAAGTTATAGGTTTTGTGATAGTTGCCTAGCTTGGCAGGAGAATTGGCAACTGCAGTTATTTGGAGACAAACTGTGTGGGAGGTCTATGTTCAGCGGTGGAGGACATTTGTTAGGCTGTAAATGTATTAATTAACAATATCTAAAGCTTAATATGTACATAATTTTTTTAAATGTTTGGTATGAATAATATTATCATTACATTTACATATACTTGCTATTTAATTAAATCAATTGATATTGTTTTAATTGTTATAGGTATTGTATTTATGCACAGATACACATACTTGATTTTTTTTAAAATACTTTGATATAAAAGTGTACTATATATTTAATATATTAATTTCTTTTAAATATATTATTTCACAGCTTTCCTAAGGAATCAGCTATCCGTAACAGTTGGATAATCGCTCCTGGTAGTGCTTATAGGTAACCAACAAAACTTACCAGTGTATGCTCAAAACATTTTAAGCCTCAATGTTTTAGGTGGATTAAATATGATTAACTTATGTAATTTATAATATAATTAAGATAATTTTTTTAAATGTTATAATTTCTTGTTGTATCTTGTTGTTTCTCCATAAGTGATATAAGTTTGACCTTATTAGTAGTTATGATTTTTGACATTGTTCTGTATGTATTAAAAATTGACTAGCATTGCTTATTTTATTTTCAAATGCTGACATTCTGTATTATTATGACTTGTAATAATTGGGTGGCATGACAATGACAAAATATTTACTTATAGATGTATTGATTAAAATGTTGGAACTTTATCTGTACTACCATGTTTTATGCAAATAAAGATTTAAATAAAATAAAGAAATAAGTAATTTAAAGTCCTGGCCTAAATATAAAAATGAATAATTTATTATGCAATAATAATTGTAAAACTGACTGGGAATGCCTACCAATGGGACATTTAGTCCACCCTTAATCCCTTTTATAAAGGTGTTATAAACATTAATGTGTAAATAAATTAAGAAATAAATGTAATAATTATGATAATTTCTATTTAATTGTCATAAAAATAATGTAATAAAGATGTTTTTGACAAGAGATAAGTATTACTTTTCTAAGTATAGTTTAGGAGTTGTACCTTATTATTTATACCATTAAAATATATTATATACAAGGCAAATAATATATATATATATATACCACGACCAGCACCCAAGAATTTTTGCCATGCAAAAGTATAAATCAAGTTTACAAATGCACATTTTTGAGAAATTCTAAAGCTACTCAAACCAAGAATTACAACGAAGAATTACAAGGAAAGAAGACAAAAATTTTGTTAAATTTGTTGTTTATTAATGTGATCAAAAATTAATAAGTAATCGTTTGTTTATTTTGATTTATTGAATTATATTTAATATATAATTGTGTTTTCATTTCTTTTACTTAATGTAACATTGTTAATATTTCTAAATGTTGTGTAAGTACACAAAATTTAGTTCTTTTTCCTTTTTAAATTTCAATATATTTTCATTTAAATAGAATATACTCGTATATCTCTACAGTCTATCAAAAGTCCACTGTTGAACATAAACATGATTATAGTTATTTGGCATAGTTTCAACGCTTGGAAAGCGGGTTGTCAACCATTATTTAGTTGTTATCAGGACAATGCTGCTGTTTATCTTCTTTGATGTTTCCCTACGTCGCCTCATACACCACCCATGGAATGATATGAGGTAGCAGATAATCTTACACTGCATGGTAAATTAAAATAGAATATTATAAAACATTCGTTTTTATTTTATATACCAACATATTACAAAAAAAATCCTTTGTTGATGCTTTACAACGTATATTAACTAAAACATTTTACCATCTTAACCATTAGGTAACATGATTAAGCCACCTAACCATAAGTAAGTCACCTAAAAAAGGCCTTCCATAGATATCCTCATAGGATGACTTGCCATAGTTGCCACGGCTGCGTGAAAATATGCGTTATGCTGGTTGGCCACCGCAGTTTTTTATTATTTTAAGTTTTCATCGGGAAAGTGCTGCTGCCCCATCCCCATCTTGTATTATTGCTTACGACGCGGGGTAATATCATCCCGTGTACAGACAAATTCATTGGTACGCCACAACTTGCCGCACACAAGACACTAACTTAACAAAACATGCAGCAAATCGCGGGAATAGGCTCATAACCGTGTTTTGTACTACAAAACTTAAGTGGTAACCCTTTCCTTTCGAAGGTCTGTGTTCAGCACTGAACTTGTGATGGAATGGTATGTTAAAATATTATTGATTTTTTTTTGTAAAAACAACAAAACTCGATACAAGGAAATTTTAGTAGTAGTTTATTAATAATTATATTAATATTAATTGAGAATAAAAATATTAATTTATTTAATATTTTTATTCTCAATTAATATTTAAGTACATACATAACATATTGTTATTTATTAGCGATATCACACTTTGTGCTATTAGCGCTTTCACTTAGTGCCGTCAAAATCCAAGGAGTTTATTGAATGTCCAGTAAAATCGTCGATGCGCCGTTTATTACAGAATGATGATTCTGTTTTTACGCCGTTTCCGCCCGTAGTTTTTGTCACAGAATGTATTTTCAAGAGAAATTAATTAATCATCTGAATTATAAAAGAACATTTTTTATGGTAACAATTAAGTTTTTTGTAAGAATGTAAGTGCTGTGAATATAAATAAACCCATAACGGGGGAAATGGAACAATATCTGGTAACCCAGTGAAAGTACCTCACGCCTATTTCTATCTCAAAAGCATACGCGAATGCTTTATCTAGTCAATACTCTATCTACGAAAATGATTTAAGTAGCTTGCTACATATTTATTTATCTATGGATTTAAGTCTGTGTTTAAGTTAAAACTCATTTTATATATAACTTCTTTCTAGACGCTATAATTTTTGTCAACTATTTTTCTGCCTTTGCTCTCTATTTGAATTTAAAATTTCAAGTTAAAGTATAGCTATCAAAGCATAAAACGATAAATAGGTAAACACCTAATATTAGATGGTAAAAAAAGTCGAATTAATTACGTAGTATGTTTATTAATACGAGATATAATATATTTACACTATTGAGAAATACTGATTTAAATGGTAAACTATTTACAAAGCAATACAAATACAATAATATTAAGAGGATTTTAAGTCTTATGCTGTAATCATTAATGTTCAATCTTCACTAGACTTGGTGGGATACCTACATTCCGGAGTTCCACATTCGCACTTCATCCACTTGGATTTTACCGCCCAGAATTCGTCACCATAGTCAAACCTGTAAAAGATATTAGAGTGGTAAATATAATATATTAAAGAAAGAGTATACACTGGTTTAAATTAGATAACAAAAAATTGTATGCGTCAGTGGGTAGCAAGTTTGTTTATTATATATATTAGTATTGTTGCGCGCCACTATTAATGTCTTGTACATGGCAACACTAGTTACACTAGCGCCCTCTAGTGTCGAGTAGCAGAACTAGGAGAGACAAGATCCTTCCAGAAATTTCGGGACCGATATGTACTCGAACATTCTAGATGTCGCTACAGTAGAAGGTTCTGGAAACAATCTGAGGCCCTATATAAGGCCGGTATAGACTACGACCGAGTCAGTATTGAATTGGCGATACAAGAGAATACTTCGAAGCGAAATAACTGCGAACTAAAGTGATTGTGTTTTATTATTAGTGTTGTGTAATTAAAGTGTCAATTTTGGTAATTCAATCGGCAGTTTTTAATTGTCTCGAACCCCAAGCTCGTAACAATTGGTGTCAGAAGTGGGATCAAATCATTCCGATTTTACTAAAGGACGACATGGATGGTATCCGTACCCGAAGTCAACGCCCGGGCCAGAGACGATTTGGTAATGCAACGCCGCAAACGTCGGAAGGCCAGCTACTGACCACGGAGGCCGGCCCGTCAGCAGCTCCTGCATCTGCAGCACCTGACTTAGGTGCTCTGATGATGATGCTGCAGGATCAGGCCCGTCGGTTGGAAGAGCAGCTGCAGCGCGGACAGGAGGAACAGGTCCGTCGGTTGGAAGAGCAGCTGCAGCGCGGACAGGAGGAACAGGCCCGTTGCTTGGAAAAGCAGCTCAAACGCGATAAGGAAGAGCAGATGCTCCTCACGAAGGACCTTCAAGCTACCTTCGGTAAAGACATAAAGGAGGTGAAGGATAGGGTTGCTCAACATGACAACCGCCTGTCGGAAGCTGAAACCCGAATCGACCAAATGAACAATCGGGTTGATAACGTGATGGTTGACGAGAAGAAAACGCTGGACGACCTCAAAATTGGGGATGGAGTTACAGCTCCCGTGGTAGCTACAACACCTTCGCTACGTGGATTCAAAGTGCCACCGTTCGACGGAACTTCTTCCTGGTCAGCCTAAAAAATCCAGTTCGAGGCTGTCATGAAAGCGAACGGCTGGAATAAAAGTCAGGTCATGACTGCTCTCACTCTAGGCCTGCGCGACCAGGCCTTAACTGTTCTGGAAGCTCTCGGTAAGGAAGTGACTTACGAACAGCTTCTTGAGGCATTGGAGGCGAGGTATGGCGACGCTCACCTGGAACACGTCTCTCGTGCGCAGCTCAAAGATCGCGTGCAACGCAGTAACGAAAACCTGCAGCAGTGGGTCCTTGAGGTGGAGAAGCTGGTTCGAAAAGCATACCAGTCTGTACCTGCGCTCATTGTAGGGAACCTGGTGCAGACATTAATTGACGGCATCCGCGACCTTGAAGTCAGAGCTGCTGTGAGGCTCGGGCACCACGAGATGCTTAAGGACGCGTTGGCCCATGCACTGGAGGTGGAAGTCGTGCGACAGGATCATCGTTCCTATCGCGTCAGGGAGGTTGCAGCAGCTACAGTTCGTGACCGCAGTAAAGGATACAGGCCTAGGTGCTACGGCTGTGGGGAGATGGACCATCTTCGATTCAGCTGCCCTAAGCGAACTGTAGAAAGGGAAGGTGATCGATCTCGAGAGGTTAGTGCGGCTAACAGCACCGCCCAGCGCAGCGGAAAATCTCATGACAACGCAGATGCATTGTCAAGAAGACCGTGTCCTGAAGATTGCAAGCATTGTACTAGGCAAGAGGGTAAGGAAGTGGTATCTGTGAGGATACTCAGGACAGACCAGCTCAGCAATGAGTGGAAGCACAGCAGGAAGATTCGGACATTAAGCCGATTCTGGAATTGATGAAGGCCAGTGCTCCTAAGCCCAAGCGGAGCGACGTCTCAACAATGAGTTCGACCACGAAAAGCTATTGGGCCCAATGGTACAGCTTGCTGATTCAGGATGGAGTCCTGTGACGTAAATGGGAAAATGGTCGGGGAGACAGATGTCATTTGCAAATGATTGTCCCTAAGGCTAAAGTACCAGATGTTCTACAGCTGTACCATAGTGGTTCTTTAGGAGGCCACCTGGAAGTTAAACGAACTCTACTGAAGATCCGAGAACGGTTTTACTGGGTCCACTGACGTGACGATGTCGAGGACTGGTGCCGCAAATGTACAAGTTGTGCGGCTGTAAAGGGACCTCAAATTCGTAGTAGAGGCGCATTGAAATTGTACAATATTGGTGCACCATGGGAGAGGATAGCCATTGACGTTGCGGGGCCATTTCCGGATAGTGAAAGTGGTAAGAAGTATTTCATGGTTGTGATGGATTACTTCACTAAGTGGCCTTGGAATGGCGAAGACTTCTTCGCCATTCCAAATCAAGAAACTTCAACAGTTGCAGATAAACTAGTTCATGAAGTCTTCTGTCGTTTTGGAGTACCTTTAGAGATATATGTTGTCATGTCATCCCAAATTGCCAACGTAAAAAAATGGCTGACTTAAAAAATAGGTACTAGTCGCTGGGCATTACTGTTTCGAAGTTTGATTTTTTTCTTCATCTAAATCGTGTGGTTGGACAGGCTAAGGTTTTTGTTCGCGCCAAACACTTTCAAGGATTGACGCGAGATGTCACTCGGCTCGGCGCGATACCGGTTAGACTTTCGGTCGTGCGAAAAACGCCCAAGAGCAAGCGGCAGTCGTCTTTAATCGGTGCTGACTCGAGCACGCGGTCCATTCTGTTAGGGAACTCGAAATAATTCGGCGCGGCCAGTAAATATACGGTCTATCATTGTGACGCGCATTCCTACTGGAGAGCTTCCCGGGACTTATTGGGCCTGACTCAGAACCTGCATAAGTGCATTCGACAATATAAGCGAGTGCGGCCTCGGTATTTAGAACTAACTGTTGCCACGCGAAACGGTAGTGACCTTTGACCCAGAAACTCCGGGCGTGTTTTGTGCGGTAACCTTATACCCCGCGATAGTTAGTGGCTTCTGTAAGCTAGTTAATCGTACGATAGAGTTAAGTGACTGTCATCGTGGTGAACCAAGAAAGTGACTGTGGATAACCTCGAAAGGCCCCCTCAAGTTGGAGCGGTGTCGACGCTCGGGCTGCTGCCGACGGCTAAGGTCCAGGTTTAATCACCATCAGTCACACCCAGATACACACCACATCACCATTCTTTCCCTTGCACTACACAACTACATGCGACCTGACCGACTCCGGAGGGACCAGTCGTCTTGGATAGAGGTAAGTGAACTCCGCCAAATTCCTTCCGGTCGACTGGCCGTAGTATAACGCTCCCCTATATATTTAGTGTAATTAGAGAATTTCCACGTGGCCACATTGAGCCCGACCTACGTCTGCTCGGGAGGACTTCAGCTCATGGGCCCCTGGGGATCTGATCCTTTAAGAGAGCAGCCGTAGGCCGTAACAAACTGGTAGCAGAGCGTGGTTCCGGGTTCGATTCCTCGGTCGATTCCGACCATAGTGCTAGATAAATATTAAACAATTTTGGTGGCAGGGAGCGTTGGTGTGATTGGTTTAATTTGTATCTACAATCACGCCCGTCCGTAATACGTAAAAATATTTTTTTGTACGTAATAATAGAATTATTTCCTTTTGTTCATTGTTGCTTGCCTTTTTTTTGGTTAGCGGGTAGATTTGAAAAGCCGCGCCCTAGGTTGCGCAAGCGGGAGTTTTCTAGAGACATACGTCATGTAGGTAGATGGTTATTTTTACGTAATCGGTTAATTATCGTTTTCGGATAGTTGTAGTGGATTACTTATCGAAGGGTCGATTTCCGAGCTAGGCATTTTTTGTTGATCGACCGTGATGTGTATCTTCGTTTATACTGTAAGTTGTATTTGAACTAAAGAGTAGTACTGGTATTTGCGCCATTTGAATTTAACTTGATTTGATCGCACTAGTATTTGTTATTTGTTAATTTGATTTGTGCCTTTTCTTTTGTGCTAACTTGTATTTGGTTGATACGTAGTAATTCGTATTTGTGTAATTTCTATTCAACGCGATTTGATAGGAACTGCATTTATTAACTGTTAATTTTTGGTGTATTTTTTATTTGTTATCTTTGTAATTTGTGCTCGATCCGCGTCGTAATTTGTGTTTAATAGTGATGACATCGCCCAAGCTACTGATCCGTTGTTTGCGGACTGAGCTACGCTGGGCCACAAGCGCCCATGCTTTGATAGGTCGACCGGATAGGGTCCATAACTTGATGAAGCGGTTCGAGCAGGTGGATGCTCGAAGGGCCGCAGTGGAGGAGGCTTACGCTGAGCTCGAGGATTCGGATGTGGAGAAGGGAGTCCTGGACTCCTGCTTCGCGGACTATGAGCAGTTCTTGTGGCTCACGGACGAGTTGATCGAGGCTGAAGGCAGGTATGCCGAGGAGGCGCGTGAAGCTCGGATGAGTAACCTGTCCGAGTCCTCTCTGAAGCAGCTTCAGCCGGAGCTGTTGGGACGACTCCCAACTCTGGACCTGCCAAAGTTCTCCGGGGTCCTTTCCGAATGGCTGACCTTCGTTGGTCTTTTCGACAGCCTAGTGGACGCCCGGAGTGACTTGACCCCGAGCCAAAAGATGGCGTACCTCCTGGCCTCACTGGAGGGGGAAGCCCTGGGCGTCGTCGGCCACTTGAAATTGTCGGACGACGCCTACCAGACTGCTCGGGACCTCCTAGCCAGAAGATACGCCAACGTCCGGCGAATTGCAGACGAGCATGTTAAGCAGCTTCTAAGCCTCCCGCTGCTTAGTGACCGGGCCAGACTGCGTCCGGACCTGTTGGATCCAGTCTTGGTGGCCTGTAATACGTTGAGGCGGCTGGGTTTACCAGTGGGCGAATGGGCTTTTTTGTTGCTCCGCATCGTGCTGTCCCGTCTACCTCTCGACCTTCGAATCCATTTTGAGGAGAGGTACGGCGGGGAC